CTTGGGTATAACTCTTAATTTTATGGTTGTAGCATAAAATGTAATTATAAGATTTAAATGTTTATTTTTCTTAAATTATATAGCATTGTAAAGGGTTGTTAAAGCGTTGTGATCGTGCGCACATTTTTAAAAAGAAAATACAAAATGTGCTTTGGTCAACGCTTTTGCACCTAATAAAATTATAAAAAAAAAAGCATTCAATTCTTAAATAAAAAAATAGTAAGTTGTAAATAAAAGCCATCATTTGAACGTTTTACGGACGCCATCACGATCAGATATGTTCCAATTGTCGTAACCACGATCTCGACCTCTTTTAAACTGAAATTATATTCACCATGAACACCCTAACGGTAGTGCCTACTCGACCGGAGCACACGAGATCACCACATATTTTAGTTGGGTTCGTGAGTATGATTTACAAAAACTGCCAATTCCGAAGTTATTTTTAGTCATTTGTCATAAGAATTAGGTTTGTAAGACTGTTGATGAATATGACGTATATGTGACATGAAATAGAAGTTCATTTATAATATAAGTTCTAGGTGGAAAAAATATTCTGTAATCATATATCAACTTGAACAAATATATAGTATTTGTGTCTTATAGAATAAAGGGTATAAACTATTTGTTCCAACAGGAACAAACATTATCATGGCATTGTTTATATCAAAGTTCTCAGAGGGAACTTCTGTTAGGTGAAACACATATACGTTGGCCAATGTACTCCTTCATTTGGAGTGCATGATATTCCTGCCGATTTCTATTATAAAGTTCGTTTAATATTTCTTTGAAAGACAAAAATCATCAGCCAATTATTCAAAATGCTCTTTTCAATGTATACTATCTTGGATCTGAAATACTTTGCTAAATTCTAATGAAATAGATTTTTTTTTTATTTTATTCATGTAAAACTTGATTAATGAAAATAAATGATTTCTAATCAGCTGGAAACCAAAAAAAAAAATGCTACTGAAATCTGTTTTCAGAAACTTAAATTGCGTAAATGCAAAAAAAAAAAAAGAGAAAAAAAAAAAAAAAAAAAGATTTACACATGTTGATTATTTATAGTAGCCTCAGGGGTCATTCCTGTAATTCAATATATCGAAACGGCATACGCATTCACCTTCCTTTAATTGTTTGTCTGTAAATAAACTCATCATAGAGGATGTTTAAACACAGCTGCACGCCTGTTCTCAAAATTGCATGTTGAGACCCCCAAAATGCAAAAAAAAAAAAAAACGATTTACACATGTTGATTATTTATAGTAGCCTCAGGGGTCATTCCTGCAATTCAATATATCGAAACGGCATACGCATTGTCCTTCCTTTAATTGTTTGTCTGTAAATAAACTCATCATAGATGATGTTTAAACACAGCTGCTCGCCTGTTCTCAAAATTGCATGTTGAGACCCCCTCCCCATATAATGCTATTTTAGGTACTACACATCACATAAATACGAACAAAAGAGAGACGAAAGGTACATTCCAACTCATAAGTTGAATAAAAAACGTACAAACAACAGTATACAAAAAAGCAAAATAACAAAAATTCCGAACTCCAAGGACAAAACAGAAAGTCCCTTATCAAATGGCTTAATCAAAAGCCCAAGCACACCAAACCAATGGAAAACAGCTGTGATATTCCTGACTTGGTACAGGTTTTTCTTATGTAGAAAATGGTGGATTAAACCTGGTTTTATGTCTAGCTTAACCGCTCACTTGTATGACTATCGCATAGAATTGGCAATATATTGACAACAATGTGTGAGCAAAACAAACATACATAATAGTAAAAATTTCAAAAATTAGGGGTACAGCAGTCAACATTTTGTTATTAGAATCTAAATCACTAAAAAAACAAAACAGCTATGTCAACAAAGAAAAACAAAATGGCATATAGACATTCTATAGATAAAGCACATAAGCCAAAATGTAAGACAAGAATACAAAAAGTGACCATGAGGTAAATCATTAACCGAAATTTAGGCCTAAATGCATTTGATATGAGGTCATTGGTCAATCAGCATATGCAATTTAGGTCAAAGTCATCTTTTAAGTTTTAATATTTGCTTGTTATCGCAACTCCTCAGAAGTTATCGACACAAGATTTGGGCAATTGTAAGTTGCGATATGACGCTATTACAATATATTTTCTTCCAATTTAAAATCTTTTTGGTTGGATAACTTCGTAACCATACATATTGTGGACCTTGGATCTTTGATATGAGATCCCGGATAATTGACCTTGAAATTTAATTTGGCGTTCATGATTTTGACCTTTGTTTTCATACTGGTAAAGCAATTAGGCATTTTTTATTAGACCAGAAAACGTATAACTTTGAAAATTGTCAACTGGAAGTTACCTTCCGTAAACCGGAAGTAGTGTTTTTGCACTTATTTCATGAAAAAGTAACAAAAAACCCATCAAATTCCAAAATCAGTTTAACATGAATCCGAAGTGACATTTTGTACACAAATTACAACTCAACTATGAGGAAGAATGAATGCAACTATACAAAAGAGACTTATATATAACATGTATAAAACGTCGTGTCAATGAATCAATTACAGCAAAACTTATACCATTGTCTATAGGTGATATAATTTCTTGTCCACATATAGTTTCGATCTGTAACGACTTTCCAAGTTCCACTGTGTATAATTTATACGCATTTATATGTTTCCTCCAATTACAGTTTTATTTTATTTGTGTTTGTTAATGCACGATTTAATGATCCACATATGCTGCATTTTTCGCTTAAAGTGTATATTCACTTTACCTTCTCAAACTGTTGAAATCTGATTTGACCTTTCTTCGGTAGATTTTTCTGTGATAATATTTAAAATTTACACACCTATATATTTGAAAGGATTTTCCAAAAATATAATGGTTTATGGTGCATGTTGTATGATGAATGGTGTATGGTGCAATTGTTCGTATTATATTGTGTATTGTGTAATAGTGTATTGTGCTTGGGGAAAGCTGAATGATATATCGTGTATTGGTAAATTTGGGTATGGTGTTTTGGTGTTTGGTGTATGCTGAAATGATATATGGTTTAAGTGTGAAGTTTACACCATACTAGGATCGCATCTAACCCATATAAGAGTTCTACACCTCATAAATAGCGCCTGATACGAGCGGGCTAGCAAGTAAACTCCCATTGAATTATAAAAATAGCGAGATGAGGTATGATTGCCAATGAGACAACTATCCACCAAATTCAAATAAAGTGGATTTAAACAATTATAGGCAACCAAACGGCCTTCAACAATGAGAAAATTCCATACCTTAAAGTCGGATACAAAAAGCCCCGACATGAAAAATATGACACAATTCAATTGAGAAAACTAACAGCCTAAGTTATTACAAAATAATTTACGAAAAACAATTAGGCAGACATTAACCAACAACAACCGTTGAACTACAGGCTCCTGACTTGGGACAGGCATATAAAGAATGTGGCGGGTTTACACATTGAATTGTCTGTTTAAGTATATTTTTTCCATTAAACATAAATAAAAGATAATGCAAAACATCTAAGTCAAGATTAAATTCGAATGCATTTGCAAAATGCACTTATTTTCTAAGTGTTAATAAATTTGACTTCACTCCATAATGTAAACGATGAAGTTAGCTCTGTTTACAGTTATTATCATTCCTAAAATATCATATTCATCACTTTTTGCATATAAACTCATCATAGATACCAGGATTTAAATAATGTACGCAAGACGCGAGTTTAGGCTTTATAATTCTCAGTGAAGCTCGCGATCGAATCTAAAAAGTGAAAAAGGCTAAATAAAAACGAAATTTCAAAAGCATTGGATAATTGGATTGAAAAAAATCGGATTAAGTGGAATTTCGTTTTATTCAAGATAATCTTTTGTATCGATAAACAAAAGCTTTATCTAATTAAAAATAAATAAAATCATTGTTCCTGGACATGTGGAGGTATAATATATGCTTAACATTTCTTACTTGACAAAATGTTTGCTACAAATAACAACTTTTATCGGATTTCCTATGGGTAGTAACTGTGCAACTCTTTCTTCAATCTTAAATACTCTTTGTAAGTGACGAAACATGCAAAAGTGAATTCACACAATTAAATATAACGGCAACCTCCTTTTCAATTTTTTTAAATTATATACAATAAAAACACTAATTACAATTTATAAGTGATTAGCATGAATGTCCATAATGTGTCTGCAAATATAAATCCTTAAAAATAAGTTGTTCAAGGTACACCAGGCAGTCCAAAGTTGTCAATCATAAAAAAATCTGGAAGCTTCCATTATTGATGATAATCCAAATTTGAAAAAAAGTCCGTAAGTTAATAATTGCAATATTAAAGTTAACGTTGAAGTACATAAAAAGCGATGCTCAAAATTCTGAACTACTATTAACCTTTCACCAACTTAATTGTCCCTGACAAATAGTTGAATAATGCTTTTAGTATCATTCATCTCATCTTCAAAATTATAGGTACATAGTTGATTACAGGTAAACAGCAAATGTTTAGCATGTACGAATCAACATTCAGCCAAAAAGTCACAATCGGAAAAATAACACAATTTATAGATCATGGTACTATCTTAAGATCTAAGACCTCAAAAAATGTCGCTAATGACTTGAGACGCAAACACATCGTATTCGTCAACCAATTCGTGATGGAGACCGTTAAACTTTTTTCTGTATAAGGAGCACATCCCTGTTAATGATGATTGTATATAAACATGCACGAGCGAAAATGTTAATTGAGATATTTGATCGCCATACGATAGGGCAGAAAGTATTGTACTGCCAAGAAATATGAATTTATAATTTGAAAAGTCTTTCTCGTTGAAGGGACATGACAACGAGTAAAACATCACGTGTGTCCAATATACTGTGTCCTCACAACATGTACGGTTTTCGAGAATATGTACAATAAAGCTAACGTTAACACAACAATTAAATTACCCCCCCCCCCCCCCCCCCCCCCTTCCGCCCCAGTGAATAATGTACAGTCGAAATCATCACTTTATTTGTTAAGTTAACGTTGATTTCCTTATTTCTGCTGAAGAACATATCATTCGACCACATTGCAACGCTTTATCATAACACTCATAAGCCATGTTCTTATCTCCAGATACCTCAAAACATACTCCCAGTATTGTTAATGATACAGATATTGCTTTTGATGGAAAAAGAAATGAACTTTTCATTAGAAAATATAAATGACGTAAAGTATGTTGTCTACTGGAAATATCACCAAGATGATGATAACATAGAAATCTAAGACAGAGAGACATTTCTATAGGCATTACGAGCACGTGTCCCTCTTTCACCTCAAGCTGTAGTTCTTTCGGTATTAATGATGAGTTCTGCAGATACAACACACTGGATACAGTGGCTGTTTTTATCTTGTCATGCAATGACATCTTAGAATGGACACAATGACTGTACATATTAATTTGTACTTTACTATAGTTTCCAAGGCCTAACAGCAACATATGAGGTACGCATTTCGACATAATGTAATCTATTAGTCCGAGTGTTTTAGTGTACTGGCCTGTCACATAATAAAATGACGCATATAACAACCAACCCGACACAGCATCCTTATCGATACACTCCTGTAAATGTCTATGATAAAGTTTGTGTATATCGTACGGGTTAACAATTGTGTTTGGAGGTGGTAATAGCTGTGCCACATATGTACTGATTTTAGCATAATAATATTTGCATACATCAATAATAAATGAAGATGATTCATACTTAACTAATGATTTAGTAAATGCAAGTCCTTCAAAACAAAGTGAAATGTCTGTTGATATTCTCATCGTTCCAGTTATCCTGTAAAGTAGAATATCTAACAAAATGAACGAAGATTCACTCTTTGTACGTAATAAATTGTGATTTTCATTGGTATTCGGAAATAGATTCTTTACTAATCCATTAATCCCCCCACACTTTATACTCTCAAGTACAGCTAGTAGAGTCATATTGTTACTCTTGTTGATCTTTCCGAGGAACATATTATGTTCAGGTATGAAATAGTTCGGACAATAGCAGATATTTACCCATGATTTTAATTTATCAAGACAGAGGGAAAAACAATGAAACAATTTATATATTTGAAATGTATTGATATCCACTTCCTCCGAAACCCAGAATAAAGCCGTCTTTAGAAAGTAAGAGCACAATAAATTTTGTACTTCATCGTGTGTGTTGATTATACGCTTTAATGTTAATTTGAGTAGACCATAACATAAGAGTTGAGTGAAATTAAACGAATGTACAAGTTTCTTTTCCGCAACAGAGAAAGACACTCTCCATAATAGGTCATTATCTGATACAGTCTTAGGTCCTATTGGCACTAGCAAGCATCCGTAATTCATTATCCTGTCAATTACGAAATTAGGGGGCCATTGGCATCGATGCCGGGATGCCCATGGCATTGCGTTGTGAGGAAGATATTTACTCCGTAGGCAGTATGCATGATCGATAGTCTGTCTCTGGTCTGATAGACATGGACCGTGTGAAAATATCGGCACATTCTTATACCTTTGCTTAAAACTATCAAGAAAGAGGTTTACTGATGCATACCACCCTTTACCAATACTTTCAACACAGGCAGATTGTATAAGTGGGAATCTACATCCCTGCTCTGCTACGATCTTGAGTCTAGTAAATCCAGGATGATCAAAATCTGTTTCCATAACATATGTAGTACGATATATTTGGGGTTTGAATTGCCTCACATTTCGTATTACTTCAATTTGATTCAGTACGAACATTTTATCAAAATCACTGCCTGGCAAATCTAGTCCTTCTGCCAAACTTCCACTTGATATATTAGTCAAATCAGGCGAAGAACATGCATTTCCGATCATATCGTGTATGAGAAATAGTCGTTGTCTATTTCGTATATCTATTTCAGTACCAATTGTTGTTATTAGGCGTTCGTATAGGTACTTCTCCCAGGGGTTATTTCCAAGCAAATGCAAGTGATCTATAAAAATGAATTAGTTAATCATCTATCATAAAACTATATAATAACGTTAATGCATAGGCCCTATTCACCCGAGATTTATCCCAATCTGTCATTCTGATTAGAGCGTCAATCGTGTAATGTCGTATGTTTTGAGACTGGTTTGATATTTGGCAACCGATGGAACAACACTTATCAAGGTGGCTATTTCGTCCTCGGGGTTTCATCGGCTTAGTTCCGAACACGTTTCCTTTTACACCAAACAAAATCAATCATTCGGTCATTTATAGAAAATTCATTAGGATTTAAATGTTAAATATTGATATGAAATATCCCCTTGATACGTTCATTTGTTTTGTAAATTTACCATCTTGACTATGTATAAACTCTTGATTTATTCAAAACACAAATGTTGTCTCACCGTTAGCATATCAAGCCTTAGCTGAAGCTTTGCTTTCAAATATTGAGTTGACGTAATTCTGATTAAGGTAAAGGAATTATTATAGCTAAAACAATGACAAGATTGGAAAATGATCTCTTTGTTGACAATTTACACATCAGCTTTCTATTGAAGACGTTACAAATAGCAAACTAGAAATTCAGTGAAAACAGGTCAATTTCTATTGGTTTTTAGGATAGGAAACAAACAGCGCATACGCCGAGAAAAAAAGACATTCTGATATTAGCTTTGGTATTACAAATTACATAATCGACTTGAATATTCAGTTTGTCGACTTCTGAGCTCTCTCTATTGTGAACCTTAATGTGGTTGAATTTCGGACGATTTAAACAACGTTTACCAAATATTCCATTGTTGGCCCTTATTGAATGTTAATGTCAACGCTTAATATGAAAAGCAGGATAAAAAAGTTCTATTTCACTTTCTCGCATGTCTATTAATCAACTTGAAACACATTTTACTTATGTTACTCTTTTCGAAAAGCAGTTAAGACTAACTATGCTAATTTATAAAAAGTTTAATCATGACTTGCATAAATTTTACTGCAAGCCTTATATTGGAGGTATTTTGCATCTCACAATACGCGAATCAACGTTTACATCTTTTTGAATCATATATATTCATATACGCATACAAAGTGTACAAAACAACACCAATATGAAAAAAGGAAGCAATAAATATAAGTATCCATTAATATTTCGGAAAACATATTTCCTTCATCAGTATAATCATGACGATGTACAATGGATCATATCAATCTATTCTAATATAACTGAAAACAATCGTCAACGTTATATAAATTAAAATCGAACCACGCTGGTATAATTCTAAAATTTCAAAGTTGACTAAAGTTAAGTAATTATAAAAGAGGCAAAGTATTTATATATCCAAAATGAGTAGCACAGTTCGATTTGAACTGGTATGATTCTTAAACTTTATAGTTGACAAAGGTTAAGTAATTACACAGAGGCTGCGTATGTATACATCCAAATTGTATAGCACAGTGCAATGTGAACTACACCTTTTCATTGATCGTTGGTATAGTAATTGTCATGGTCTTGTCTGTTTGTCTTATGCTTACGGTTTTTGATTTAACTATTGGTATATTTCCCCTTTTAAAACTGTTTCTTCATTTTGATTACATCAAAACCGATAACATACCTGTCATCGAGTTTAAGAAATTAACATTACAAAGTAATTACTTTTATTGCTGTCTGTACAATTCTGTAAATATTCTAGGTAGTCTTTTGAAGATTTGTCAGGATATCTAAGGTTTAATATCCACTGTTCCTGTGTTTTACGTCTATGTAAACAAGCTTTGTACATTCTATCAAACTGTCTGATTGTAAGTCCAAAAACGTCATTTGAGATAATGAGGCCTCCATCTAACGATTGGTTTAGTAAGGGTGTATATTTACGCCTTCCACGGTAAGGAAAACATTTTACACTGTATATTTCCCAGTACGTTGTTTTCTTCATGCCAAATGGATACCCATCATCACAGTTGTCTTGGTTTGTTGACTTTCCGTTCATGGTGCCTATTATAAACATGTAATTTAATAAATTTAATTGAGGATTTGGTTTCTTATACAAATAATTCAAAGTCTTATTTTACTGTTCAATATATTACATAATTTACCGATTATCAGTTAGGATATAGTCAGTCCCGGTATACGACTTTAATAAACAATTTTAAAGGTTATTTTAGTTTTGTTTTAAAGTTTGATGTACCATATACTTGTATTAACGTTTCATATCTTTAGTAGACAGCATTGTCTCGACAAGTAATATTTTCTATGTTTAGTTTCGCTCGTAGTAAACAATTTAACATAAAGGGCGACCCAGAATACATTCAAGCACCAATGAATTAATTTTTAATTCTATCCCTCTCTGACGCTCAAAATAAAATTCATCTATAACGACCAAGGCCATGTGAAAATTACTAACAAATATTTGGCTTATATGAATCAATTGTTAAGTATGCGTCTCAATTTGAGGTACTGTTGTCCGGACAAGTTAAAATCAACCGTTTTAGTTATCTTATACATTGGATTTTGTTTTAGTTTTCATATCAAATAAGGATATGTGTTATGCTTGCTGATGATGCAAATAACTAACAAAGTCCCAATTAATTGGATATAGGCAATTAAAGATCGGCCTTAATCAATCAGCAAAACCTTAAACCTTAACGTATAGTCAGCTACAAAAAGGCCCTGACATGACACAATATGAACCGAAAAAAAAAGTAACAGCTCAGTGGGATTACAAGACTAGTAACGTTGTTTTGTTTTGTTTTTTGGCTCATTTATTTAGATATTTATGAAATCTGACAAGACCCACATACTATGCATAAATCAGCCGGTGAAGAGTTGTATTGGTGCATAAGTGATACTATAATGATTCATGCCTACTTCTTTTACCCATGAAAAGGAGAGGTATCTTATAAGCCATTTTTTGGCCCCTGAAATGCAAAATTAGTAAAATTGCTCAAGCCTTTTACAATTATGTTAAATTTATTAATACTTGAAAAGAATGAAATTCTCTGGATTCTTAAAATGTTTAAGTGGGAAAAGGACATTTGTGATATCGATATGACATCAAAATCATGTGATCATTAAATGGCCATTTAACATGCAGTTTTTAGTCGAAATAGCTTTGAGCAACATTTGTTCCCAACAAGATATTTTACAAATATATTCAAATATTTGCATCTATGTAAAATACACCTTGTTGCACAAATTGCAAGAAGTATGAAGCCCTAGTGTAACTATGTAAGACACAAAGTAAAAATATAAATACTAATTATTGATAGTCCTCCTCTTATTATTTGGCTGATTTATAATTATTTGGGTTTTCAAATTCAGGGAGCAAAACAAAGTGGTCTTACCATACCTTCTCCTTCGACCTTCTTTACTTTAAGTTGTCATGAACAATCTTTTACGTTTACGGTTACATGTACCACATTCTTTTGAAATATAAAAACTTGTTTTGTGCAATATTTCCTTACAATTTTATCGGATACTTGTGTTGTTACTTTATTCGTATAACTCAAAATAACTAAATCAAACAAACTATATCGCAGGCATGTTTTGCATGTCCAGAAAGATGTGTTATTGAAATTAGTCAAAGATACAATGAGTAAAAAAACAGTTACGGTAACAAAGTCATTCTTTGTGAACAGACTGAAAAGATACATTTTTGGTGTAGTCATACATAATTTAAAAAAAGGGCTTTTTTTATTGCGTTGTGGTCTGTATTATTCTACAATAAAATAAAACGATTTCACTCAGGACAACAACTTAACATGGAAAAAAAAGTATTAACAAATATATTAAACGTCGTCAATGTAAATACAAAAAAAGGGGAAGTCCTTAAAACTTGACAAACTCTAATGCTGGACTATTTCTACCAACGGAACGAACTGAAAACAACTATCATAGTGTTTTACTTGGTACAGGTCCTTTATGATGAATATGGTGGGTTCAAATTACATGACACTGATAGCTAGCTAAACCTCCCACTTTTGTGACAATTGTTTATAGTCTAGTTCTGTTACATCCACAAAATTAGGTAAGCAAAATTAGAAGTGTTAGGTAGCAAAAACAGGAAAACTGCTTATAATATGTAGGTTTCCAAATATGCTGTTTATCATTGGTACTTATATGCGATTGATATGTTAATATTGATTTACGTACTAACTTTATATCGTTAAGCACGCAGACATACTTTGTTGTCGTAACGTTTTTGATATGACCTAAAAGTATTCGACGATTACATGTATAATTATTGTCTGACGAAACAATTTAACAAACAAACACTCAGGGAATCACACAAACCCCAAACGAAGCGGGACATAATAAGATAACCGCCGATTGCAACACAGGTATCACTAATGATATATGTCTTACCTTTTTTCACTGGGCCGCTGGCTATACACTTTTTGTTTCACAATATTACTTGAATGATTGAAAGTTGGAGTTCAAGAACGTTGGAAAATGAGAGAAAAACATCCTGATGAAAACACTTGTACTGAGGCTATCTGATTTTGTTCGTATTAAAACAAGGATGGGCGGGCACTTAACGAAAGTGTTAAACACTTGTATAAATGTACTTACAAGGACATCTTAACACAACGTTAGTGAATCATAATTCGAAAATTTGAAACCTTACTCTATTTTTTATTTTTAATACATACATTTCTCAGTGGTCACATGATAATACGGCCATTGCACTGAATTATTTCTCATTGTTTGGTTCCTGATCTGTTGTTTGTACAGCCCTATATTTTATGTCCGATAAGTTTTACAGTGGTGCTTTCCCATTAAAAGTAATTTAAACAATCAAAGACCGAAAATATAAAAATAATGATGTTTGGTATGATTAACAATGTGGCAACTATCTCTTGAGTAAAGAACAACAATTTGAACCAATATAGGTCATCGAACGCCCTTCAACAGTGGTTCCCAGCATTACAAAAAGTGAAACAATTCAATAGCGCAAATAAATGTCGTGATTTATACAACAATAAAAATAGTTTAAGCATTTTCCTCTATGCATGTATCACCAAGCATACAAATCCACACTCAGTTAAGGACCAACAAACGAGAATAGGTTACAACTGCATTGGTAAATATACAGATCAGATCCTTATTCTTGTATCTTAAGATCTCAGATCGTGAAAACATGTCACTAGTGTGTTGAATGAGAAACACATGGTATCGGTCAAACAATTCAATTTAGATCAATTATCAAAAATTTCAGTTAAAAAAAAGAAAAATAGAAAGAAACAAAAGTATAAAAGTCTTTGCTTGTCAATTTTCATATTATCTAACACAAATTCACAAACGGAGAATTATTGGCCTTATCGCAAATGTACATAATGTTCACTGAAGTTGAAAAAGCCATATATCTAAATATATTGAGTTATTGTATAAAGCATTGCAAAAATAGCTGCATTTATTTCAAATTTAGTTAGTATTTTACTCATAGATAATATATCTCTCACGGTCAAACTAATTATTGATTTCCGACACTTTATTATCATTTTAGGTAGTAGTAAAGCGAAACTGAAACAAGAGACAAAACCTTCCTTATACGAGGATTGAAAATTACTTGTTCTTGGAATAAAGCATTGCGTTCTATTAAGCAAAAAAAGATCGAAGGTTACATATTATCAGTGTAAACATTTGTATATTTTTTCTTACAGGGAAATAGAAACACAACGATGTTTAATCATAGTTCGAAATATAACTGTATTTTTATTTTATTATGCATACTTTCCTCAGTGGTCATATGTAAACAATTCAAATACATCAATGTGTACTTTGTTTCGTTTTGACTTGCTTTATCAATGTGGAATATCTACACTGAAAGATTAATAGTAGAACACTAACTTAAGTCCGAGATGAAACTATAGTTTACTGGTTTTTTGTTTAGATCGAGTACCAATACTTAGTGGGGACCTTTAAATGTTCAGTAGAAGCCTTAGGCTGAGAAGTGGTAGTGATATAATTGTTTACTATACGACTTTCTTTAGCCGGCACGAACCTGAATGTAGATTAAAATACACCTGTGACGTAAATCTTTTGTTCAAACTCTCCATTATTTTTCAGGAATGGAGAGTTATTTTCTATTGTTCATCTTCATTCATGCGGACGATTTGCCATTTGGATATTTCCATGGGCACTTTCTTAAAAAGTTTTCACTCATGGATATATTTCTAAAGGACGTAACTCGATATTGAACGAAGATGAAAACTTAATAAATAGGGTGATACTGGATTTTTTTTTAATTGGGATCGTAGTAATACAATGAACACCAAATATCTCATTATCAACAAACAGCTTTTATTTGCGAGTCGTAATTCCATCATATAATATATAGTATCGTATTCACTTAAATTCCACAACATTATCCACAATTTGTTTTCCGATGCAAATCTTGGCTGACTTTCTGTCAAGGATAGTATCCAAGCGGGGAAAAACGAATATTTTCCATTGCGCAATTGAGTGCCATTCCTCTTCTGTGCATCTACATGTGTTAACTCAGTTGAATTTTCAGTTTGTAATATTGAACACATCAATAATATTCAATATTGAAAATTAGAGCAAAAATATATTTCATTTAAAGATTTGCTTTTAATTTTACCGTTTAAGATATCATTTCCCTGAAATTTAAAGTGTTGTATTCAGATTTTGAACAGCAAAAATCGTTTGTTCCATTTAATATGTACATTAAAAACAGAAAAATTACTCGGATACTTTCTACAATAATATTGTGGTCTTAGTAGAATAAATAGTTCAATAAATTGAAATGGTCAAAATGGCGTATTCGGTATATTATTTGATTGTTCGTTGTTATAATGAGCCTCCTCATGGGGTTTTTGATTATGTGATTACTTGGCCGTTTTTATAGTGATTATTTGATTACCAGACCAAATATTTCATGATTATTTGATTATTTGATAATCTAGGACTGTATTTTTGATTATTTGATTATCTTGTTTAAAAAAATAATTAATGATTATGTGATTATAATGGCAAAAAAATTGTGATTATGTGATTACTTGGACATACCCATGAGGGGCCGCTATAATTTGAATACTAATGAATAGAATTCGAGGGGGGTACGGATAACATTTGAATAAGGCTTGTGTTAAATATTGGGAGTGGGTTTTTATTCAGTTTTCAACAGAAACGCGTAACATAATCGAATTTCTTCACTGTTGTTATATGTCCAGTGGCAAATATAACAAATATATCGGCAGTGCAAATGACGGCGTTAATCTTGAAATGTTTAAATGAAATTAAAAAGTGGTTTTCCACTTAAGTTAAAGACATACAAACGGAATCCAAAAATGTTTAATCACGCGGGTTTTTTTATTTAACTTTTTGCATCCTTTCTGATAATAGCGAAGAATGAAAAATTATTCACAGTTTGCTTGTATTGCTATTTAAGACTCATCTAAAAATGCATAACATTTTTGTTCGTTGTTGGGTTATGCATGAAAAACTGTTTTCTTCTTTACTTTTTATTGATCTAATAGAATGGTTTGAAACATAAATCATATTTTGTTTCAGATATGACTTATAATCGAGAACACCTTTATTAGTTATATAACCTAGACTAGAATGTTACATACCTGGAAATTTATTCTAGTTGTACTATTTCATTTTTCTGAGACGATTCTACATCCAAGATTTATCAAACGAATAGCACACATAATCCATTGTCATTGTTTCGCCTAACAGAAGTTCCACTGGAAACTTTGTTATAAACAATGTCATAATATCTGTTCCTGTTGGAACAAATATTCTATACCATTTTTTCCGTTAGGAACATTTACTGTAATATTTATTCCAGTGGAAATAATATTCCAGAATATTGTTTCCATTTGGAACTTATATTATGAAGGAACTTCTATTCCGTGACACCATTAACATAATCCATAAAAAGTAGGTTTTTTCTCTCTCCCGATATATCACTTAACGACACAAATAAATATCCTTTCAATCCCACTACAAGAAAGACGTGCGTATCCAATGACTTAAAACATAAATCTGGATGAATTTTATTCAAGATCTTATTGTAGTAATACTGTTCATAAATACTTCGTTTAGTAAGTAGATGGTCAGTTTGGTCCTAAATTTTGCCTGTGCATTATTGGGTACAGCACGGGGAAAATGAAATGAAAACTATTACAAAATAAAATAAAATTCTTTAAAATGTTATAATCTGAAGATTCGTTCTTAATAATTAAGGTGTACTTTAAGTTAGCGAAAGTCCAAATAACTGTCCATTCCTAAGAATTAATGGGCGTCGGCCCTACGGGCCTCCGCTCCATTATTTCCCAGGAATGGACAGTTATTTACACATTCTCTATAACAGAATTTATACTTCCATTCAAAAGAACTAAAGAGTAGTATTTACGTCATACAACCACCCCATTGTTGGCTACTCTGTCGGCCGGTGCAAACAGAAACCATTTTGTGTATACTTTAAATTTGTTTCTCATTCTTAAAGTTCGCAAATAATATACCCTTTTAACTTATTTCTAGATTATTTTCAAAATGAGATATTCGAATATCAACAATATTCATATATTTATTTAAATAAGAATCAAGAAATTGTGTATCAGATTTTTCCCGTTTACTCAGAAGTTTTACAATTGGATTACAGATCGTCTTTAATTACACGACGACATTGATTCCAATCTATTTTAGATGGATGACGATAGTTTAGTCTTTTTTAGAATAAGTTTTTCGCAGTGATGTTAAGGCAATTTCGATTAGATTTGGTCAGGGGCAGATAACCCCGCAAGTACCTCATTATGTTTTCATATATTCATTAAAGGCGGAGAGTCCGTCAGCTGCGTCTATCAATAAAACTGTATGAAATCAAATTACATACATGCCTGTTAATTAAAAACGGGTATCCATATGGTGTAATTTGTTTACTGAAACACGAATATTGTATGTTTGTGCTTTAATTATTATGATAAACGGTTGCAATAGCTGTTTCTCGCGCCGAGATTGTCGGCTTGTGGATCCCGCCTCCTTTTGGGGATCAACTAATCAGTAGACGATCGCCGTCGAACAGGTGTTTGTTGTTTGCAGAATGGAAAGCACCTTGCAACGGAAATTGTTTTCACTTCTACGTGAAAATCTAGCAAGAAAAGTAAGTGTAAGACACCAAATATGTAAAATTTATGAAATATAAGTTGCTTGTTTTGTTAATCATTCGCTGAAAAACGGCACAGTATTATATAAAAACAGTTCAGTGTTGGCAAGCATGGTACACGTGGTCAAAACGAAACTAGACTGCAAAAAATATCTGAAATTTGAATAATTTACCGAGTCCCATCAGTAAATGAACAGAATATCGAATGAAACATGTTTTCTGCATTATACAAAGAGCCCATTCTCAACATTTACCCTGAAATTCATTTCTAATTTACGTTTTGCAGGTATCCTGGTTGGGTACATTTTGTAAATTATAACAAAGTTTGCTCCACCGTTCACTTCCTGCGGAACCCACGTTGCTGGA